CGTTTCTTTGTTATCTTTGTTTAACGAAATACACATCTTTACAGTTTCCTTTGTATCTAAATGAATACTTTTTTTTTAACGTTTTATGTAAACCACTCCTACTTCTTTATGCACATGACCCTTTTGTAAAAAGGTTTTCCTGGACTGGTGCTCTTCCATAGTATTCTTACTTACAACAGCTTTTGACTCACGGTCAAGCGATTTTCCACTCGTTATTCTTCAATAACCCTGCTGATCAATTCTGTATTATATCAATAAAGCGATAAATTTTGCTCTGTCCTTACAACGTATATTCGACGTCTTCACAAGGTAAGCCTTTAATTAAAGTTCTGCTTGATCCTAACTCAAGGTTAAACCTTCTAAATCTAAACGACTCGATAAAAGGAAAGAATTTTTTCACAACATAGGGTTCCTCCGAGAATCAGTATGCGGGCATACTTCCTTAACATATTTTATCATTGCTTCAAATATCGTTATCGGTAGAATAAGGACTTCACTGGATGTTGACATCCACTTCAGCGGATGTAAAACTTCATTATCACAAATTTTTATCCAATTTCATATTTTGTAAAAAAGTCATCCGCTCCATTTTTTGATTTCTCTGGTTAGTATTAAATGAAAATAAAAAGCAGTAGACTGAAGCAGACTGAGCTAGAGACTGATCTGGTTATACAAATCCGAATCATATTCCGATTTATACACTTCCTGATTTCATTCCTGGCATTAATTTTTTAAACTTGTTATTTAAAATTCATGTAAATCTATAGATGACGTGCTTAATGTTAGAATGTAAATAAAATCGAGCATTCATGGAAGGCTTTTTCGATTTTAGGACAGCTTGTTTGGGATTGAGTAGGGCTGTTGTTAAGGGAAAAGTTTGAGTTACAGTATCAGGGCAAGGTCAGGTTATTGCAATGAACGATTCTTAACAAATTTGGTATTCTCTGTCGGATCGTTCTTGCTGTCTATACTTTGTCCTTTATTCAAGTTATAATTTAAAAAGTGTGCTCACGGAAGATGTCTTCAACTCTTAAATTACACTTTCAAAAAAGTAAAGGTTATGTTTGGGCATTTCATGAATCATCTCCCCACATAAATCAGAAAATCAATTTTCTAACGTTGCTTCAGTTATACAAAAATTTTAGGATTCCCACCAACCTGATAATCGTTACCAATTTTTTTTTTCAGTATGCTGTGAGATCTGACATACTGTATGCATTACACTGTTATCTGATGTTGTGCTGCCAATGAAATGCTTCTTTCCTGAATCCACGTAAGCAACGTGTCCCTTTATCTCGTTTTCAGCATACTTCACACTATTCCAACAATTCTACAACACCACAATAAATTGTTCAGATTGATAGCGTGTACATTCATATTACCATCGTTACTGTGATGTTGTACGATTGCACGATTGTATCACGATACTGCGATTGTATGCATCTTTATCAGTTCGGCGCGATCACCTGGGAGACATAGAAATATAGCGCAACAAATCCTATAACAATAATACAGTATGACAAAGCTATCCTCTCTTATCTGCTTGATCCAATGGATCAATAAGATGCAAAACATAGATTATCAAACGATCTGAAAACAACTGTGACAGATTGGATATTAGAATAGAAAATGAATTATCTTAAGAAAGCAAGAAAGCAAATTTATAATAATGACTTATATTTAGGTGGATACCAAGATAAACAACAATAAGTTGGATGAAGATAAAGGTTCTGAAAAAAGTCATTACAACTGCCTTCCTAACCGTCTTCCGGTCAGCAGTGGAGTAACAACTTGTAGGAGACATTTATCCAAAAGTTTCCTGAAAAACATTTCGCCATTTTGCGCATGCAATGACTTCACTGTCCATGACAAAAGAAGAAATTCTGTGTTCTATCAACATTTTCATCTCTTTTACTATTGAATATTTAGCGAAGTGAAATCGACAAATCGATAAAATATTTAGTTAATTATCATTTGTCCTGAAATTACCACAAATTCACTTAAACCACTTCACCTAAAGTATATAGTGTTCACCTTACTGATTATGTAAATCTAAAAATTTTGGAATTGATTAATTGACCTGGTCTTATGTCAGATTATTACTGATAGTTGGTTTTCTGGAAGTTACATAATTCCATTAGCTTACCACTCTTGATTATTAAACCATAGCGGTCTTGTCGCAAATAACCCGCAAATGATTGATGTGCTTCCTTTGCAAAAAAAGACTGATTTTTCAAATAGATAAAAATTCAGTGGTCAGCGCCTAAGTGAAACATCGAAATAACTGTTTGGGTACCTTCGATAGTAGCCTTCACCCTGCGTTGGAATAGCTGCTTTTTACGGTGAGCTGTTATCGTCCTCTCTTGGAAGCGTTCTGCTGTTTTACGTTTCTTGCTCTGGCAAGAACCGGACGATGACATCGCATATATGCACTCATTAGTCAACAAATGATTCAGGCAAGGTGTTCTTTTTTGTTGTGCGTTCGGCTCCAGCATGTTTGTTTCAATGTATTTGATAGGGTGACGATTTTAAACAGCCTTCTTGTTTGCTTTTCTTTCGTTGCACTATCACTTGTCCTAAAAATTTATTTTGTAATAACTTCATTATAAACGACAAAAATAATATATCAATTTCGTTGTGACTGACTGTTCCGCTGTAATATGATCACACAAAGGAGTAGCGCTAAGCAGACGGAAGGAAGAAGACTGAAGAAGTTATTTCTGGAATATCGAAATCTGAAATTATTTTGATAATTTTAGAGTCATTACACTTCATTTTTTCAAAATAAACAGTTACAGAACAGTACGAATTAAAAGTCTGTATATGTTATCATATCTGTTCGACATGGGGAGGGAAACATCAAGGATGTATTTAGTGTTGAAGATCGCACATTTGAAACGATTATTTCAGAGAGAGGACAGAGAAACGAGCTGCAAAAGGTCAACAATCTTCTAACTTGGCGAATTTCTATTTTCGAAATCGAGTTTGAGGTCAGCAGGATTGATCCTTGCACTTTATTTGCCTTTTTTCTAAATTCCAATTCACACTAGAATTTACTTATACATATCATTGTTATCATCTGCAATGGGTTGAAGATGATAGCGATAATATATGTAGGTGTCCGGTTCCATCTTTTCTGTTCAAGCCTCTCCTTCCTTTCTCTCTCTTTCGATTTCCTCATCTCTCCACCATTATTGCTCACTTGCAATTACACTTTCCTTATTATTCGACAGGTTGTTTATTGCAATAACAAGTTTTGTTTTTTTTTTTTACTTCTCAAAATTATTCAATATATTTGTAGTTGGTGGAAGTTTTTAAGACAATCTTCGACACATTGTACATCTCTTCACACATTGTACAGGCCCTATTTCTCTTCCTCTTCCTGCCCCAACCATCTTCATTGCTATCTGTCTGACCGTTTAGTTAAGGATAGATCATCATCTCAACAGCTGTCTTTACAGATTGTCATATCAATATCAGTCTTCTAAACTCTATTGGCTACTCTTTTGTGACTGCTGAATAATCTCTTATTAGTCAGGATCGGCGATCATTTCGTTGGCTTCCGCTTTCTTCAAGTCAGTACTCAAAACCTGAATTTAAACCTTCGGGAACATTTAAGCAAATATCAGAGGGAGAATAACAACAATATGAATGCAGATGGCAGTGCACTTAAGGTTTGTTGCTCTTTTTCAGAATTGTTTAATTATTCAGGTCAAGCAGAATCAGGTTCTGGAATTTTAAATCAGCAACTTGAATTGGATGAAATCTGGAGAAGTTTTAAATAGCTAGAAGTTTTCGGATTGTATTTATCCGTCTTCTGTTACTTATTTAAAGGAAATCTCGAAAACGAAAGAACTAAGGTCTTAGTAAAAATATGAAAATACCTTTTTTGTTGGTTTTTGATGATTTGGTAACTTTCCGCATTTTAACTGACATTAAACTATTTGTTAAAATGCGCAGCTGGTAAAGAGCGTTTCCAATGAAGTGGTTTGTCAGTTCTCTGGCACTCGAATCTTCTGGTTCCAAGGCTGATGCGTAATCTTTCTTATAAGCACATATTGATGGATTCATCACAAAAAAATTAGAAATAGCCAAACATCACACGATAAAAGAAGTAGTAACATATATCCACCATCAATTACAACACTTTATTTGATTTAAATGATGCCATTACTAAAATATTCTTTTCCTTTCCATATATCGCCCATAAATTCCCATTTTTTCGTTGTTTAATAGAACATCAGTATCTCCTTATTTGGATGTCAAGCTGTTCACTAGCTGTTTCTAGAGAGACAAGGTAAGTGACAATGATAGATATAGTGATTAATGTCATCTAATCAAGGCATCTTCCGATACCGGGATTCGTTGTATAGCAATATAGCAGTTATTAAACACAGTGCTTATAATCACGTAGACATAGAGAAGTAGAGCAATTAATTAGTTGCTTGTTTACTCTTATTTCATTAAGCTATTGCGCTGTGTGATCTCATTACCACATACTACAAGTCGAGATATCATGGTTTCAGGTTTTTATTTAACCATAGCTTCGAAAAAAAAATTGTTTTGGATAAAACTGCTGACAGATAGTGACAGTCGTAGGGACATACCAATACGGTTCGGAGGTGATGTAGTGATAAAAAACAGCATTATTTATATGTGCAGAGATATTAAGTAAGAGTTACTCTAAGCGATAATATATTCTTTCACTGCTGTGGTCTCTTTTGCTTATTTCAATCTAATTAGATCTTCTGGGTGAAAAGAGGAAAAAGCGAGTAGATGATCCCAATACTCTGTTTCTTCTGATTGCTATCTGAAGGAATATTCAAATGGCAATTAGTCTTGATAACATATATAAAAATGAAAGTATGTTGGAAGCATAGCTTTCATTTCAAACTATACTTTTGAAAGTAAATGAAAAATGATAGTGAGAATGGCATGCGCATAGCGTGTCAGACACTGGACCTATCAACCATCATTAAATCATGGAGTTGGATTTGATCCAGGATGAAGTGTTTGAGAATTGTGCGACTTGTTTTTTTGGAAGGCGACGAGAAGCTCTATCCATGAATTTGAATTATCAGCTTAAGTGTCCATTTCTGCTTATGAAAAGCTTCAAGAAATTCATTGTGAGTCTTCCTTTTTTCCTAAAAGGTCCAGTATGAGTGGCTGTTGTTGATTTATTCGTCTTAATGTTACTCTAAGTGTTTCGAAATTTGGATATCTTTTTTCTAGGGTTTTCTACGACTCACTTCCTACGTTATTCTGTACACAAATGGTCTAAACGTGCATTATGCTATCACCCACTTCACCACTTACGTTATAAACGTCAACAAGCTTTCTGTATATTTCTTTCGATTTAGTGTTAAACGCTATTTAACACTTCCTTTGAAGTCTATCCTTTCTGCCAAATCTAATTAATGAAAGTTTATGATCAATACTTCTCTCACAACATAATGTTTTTCTAATCGTCTCGTCTGGATATGTATGTATACACTCCTATCAGTGTCTGTGTGTGATCTGTGTTCGTGTCCGTGTGTATGTGTGTGTCTGTGCGAGTGCGGTTGCAGATGCGGCATGTATATATATATATATAAGTAGAAATCGAAGACTAATGATGGCGAATGGGGGAAGGGGAATAATGTGGTCAGATGTCGATAACTAACATCGTCTGATGAAAGGAGCCAGTCCTTTGCTGAAATATACGACAGAGTGCAAGGCTCTTTTTGGAATTTGGCTGAAAGGAGAAAAAAATGAGTAGTCATTTGGGAAGCTACTGCTAGACGGGTGGGTAGAATAGTCCGAACTGCACGTCAGGTTGCACGTTTCTCCGATCTTAATTGAGATGCGAATCAATAGCACTGATGTTAGCTTTGTTTTGCTCTGCTCAGAATGCCACGCTATGCCTTTCCCTGCGTCATTCTTAGTTATTACATTCTCCATGAATCATTCCTACTCCCAGTTCTGAAATGCTTCTTCGTTATGAAATGTTTTTTGGTTGTAGAATAGAAGTTCTTAAAATCACCAACTAACATTCGATCATTCCTGAAGTTGCGGAATTCAGTTTCTCCTCCCCCGTTCAGTAAACAAATTCTCAATGCTAATCTTGCTTAAATGAGGACGGTGAGAACCGATGAGTGGAAAGAGAGAAGAAGAGAAATGATATAGCGCAATCTTTTATTAGAAACTGGTTGGACGTTAGTTTATGATCAGAATTCGGTAAGAATGTGCAAATTTAAAATTGACTCGTTTTTTCGTTTGTTTACTGAAGCTCATTTTGTAATGTTAGAAGTAACTTACAATCGGAGTTAACTTCCTTCACTGATAACCGAGAGGAATATACCGTCGAGATATGATAAGAAATTGCCATTTTTCTATTGGTTCTCTGGCATTGGACGGATACATAACAGGCAGTAAAGAGCATATTGCAGTAAAATTAGAGCTTTCTTCTTTCATTATTGTTTAATTCTTATAAAATGCTTTCCATTTCACTGCATTTTGCTTCGCAAGAAAAGTCGAAATTCCTCTTAAAATCACAATTTTGCTTTAAATCCCTAGGTTTTTGCGCAGAATTCCAAAAGGTATGAAAACGAGGCTTTCTGGTTGCTATGGTCCTCTTATCGAAATGACGCAAAGCAGAGTTAAAGTTTGAACACTTGTCAAATATACGGCTGGTGAAGAACTCATGAGTGCAACCGAAGATTAACTTGGTGTTATGTTTAGGTGCTATAGTTGTTTCTGTGCTGCTTGGCTCTTACTAGTATTCGCAATTGATATTTCTGATGGCAAAATTGCAGTAGCTAACTGAGCTTATGTAAACATTTAATATACCACTTGAAAATTTACTCGTCTGGTCTAAATGGAAGTAATGAATAGTTCTGTTTATCATTCATCTTGGTCAATAAAAATCATCGAAAAGGATATTCTTTGGTCGGTAATTTGGTAAACAAATTAATGACCCCAAACGATCCTTCGCTGTTTTCATCTTTTGAGGAAAAATCAATCTGCTAGACTGCGCATTTCTGTTGACACAATAATTAACATCAAAAAACACTCACAAATAGTTACTTGATAGTAGGTCGCGAGCCCATTTTGCATATTATTGAAATGAATGCTTTTCGTACATTGCGCTAGGGTAAATAAATCATTCTCATATCTATCCGTTCGATGCATAATCATCTATTGGTGTCGTGTCGTGTCGTATCTCATTAAGTTAGCATATCGATCCTCTGTTGTTATCTTCGGGGGATCACTGATCTATCCATCTGTACGTTGTTTCATAATATTACCTTACACTTAACTTGTGAATGGGATCTTCCCAAAGGAATACTGTACATTCTTGTTAACAGTTTAAATAACTCCTATGACATTGGAATTTTTCATTGTCCGTTTTTTGTGAGAGTTATCATAATGTGGGAATAAAAGTGATAAAATTCTTTCATACAATAACAGGGATAATGAAGGTATCATTGTTGTGATAATAACAAATACTGATTGAACTAACGATTCTTTCTGTCTAATTTTTGCAACAAAAAGAAATAATAGTGTCGAGTCACCTGGTAACATCCTAAAAAGCTTTGAGATAGAGGATAGGGAATGTTATATTTGGATCTCTTATTTGAACCGGAATCTGTAAGATGCCGAATTTTTGACATTGTTCTTTGACGTTTCCTTCCTTCTTTGCTGAGAACAGTGCTTTCTTGGAACCAAAGACAGGAACAAATATATAAAGTTCTTTTTTTTTAGAATATCATGAAGTTTACTTTTTAGGTGCTACAAGTCAAGTAAACGCGAGTTGATTATGAACAATTACTACTTTTTTTAAATGATTTACATTGCCGTTGATGCCTTAAAAATGATTAAAATGCAAAATCTCAACTTGATGTTTTTAATTATAGGCACAAGATATGGCGAAGAAGAAAGGAACAGATATCAACGAATTGAAGCAGGAGGTCCAGATGGTAAAATTTTCAATTTCAAAATTCCGTTTTCAAGAAGATTCTTTACACCCAGTTTAGATTATTATAGATTTTGACAAAGTTAAAGTTATATAAAAATTTGTTGGAATCTCATCCGTAGATGCTGATTCGTTACTCTTCTTGATTCTCTCTAGTCTTCAGGATTAATCACTATTTAAAAACATTTGCCATCGGTTCACCAATTCAATTCTAGGATGAGCATCAAATCCCAATGGAGGAGCTGCTGAAGCGTTTGGACTCCGATATTGATAATGTATGTTTGTTTTATGATTTTGCGGAAGTAAAATTGTCCCAGCAGTTGTTACTGAATTGTTGACTTCTTACTTTGAAATTCTCAGTGGTATGGTCCAGAGAGGAAGAGCTTCAGCATTCTAATTATAACAGGATTCATTCTGAACCTGGAAAGGAATTCCAAGCACAAACTTTATTACGCCATTCAATCCGGAATTGTCATATCAGAGGGGTCGGACCTTTTAGAAATATTATCCTTGCTGTAATTTTTTAAAATTTTTTCTCAAAATTTGCATTCTGTTTTACTAATGACTTTGAAATACACTTTTTATATTGAAATAGTTCGCAAAACATAAAGAAAGAATTACACTATTGCAAGATTACCAGATCTATGCAATTTAGTGAGATGTTGGAGTAGGAGCCTTTTGAGAGATTTTGATTTGTTTCCTTAGATTCAGTGTACATTCCATACTCAAATTTTTTATGAATTCGGAGCTTAATTTGTTTGTAATTTTACTTAAGTCAATGTTTTTCAGGGACTCACCGCTTCGAAAGCTGCTAGGGTATTGGCGAGAGATGGTCCGAATGCGTTATCACCACCAAAAACAACTCCGGAATGGGTGAAGTTCTGTAAGAATTTGTTCGGTGGGTTTGCATTATTGCTTTGGGCAGGCTCATTCCTTTGCTACGTTGCTTACGCAGTCGACTATTTTAGCGTGGAATATTCAACCAAGGATAATGTAAGTATATTAAGACTTTTATTACTCCATTTTCTTTCTATGTATGATTTTACTTGAGAGTTTGTAAATTGGGTCTGTAATTCATGACTTGTTTGTCTTGTTTTTGCAATACAACTAGTGGTGACATCACCCAGAAGAGAATCGATCATGTCGATTTGATATGAACGAATTTCTTCTAGGTGATGTTGAATTGGATTTCAGAAAGAACCTTCAAGTCAGTTTCCACAAATTTATTTGTATCTTTCGTTTCACACTGCTCTCTTAAAGCTCTCTGAAACGAAAGAGAGGAGTAAAACTGATTTTGCCTATTGCAGCTTAAATTTAATACATTTCAGTTGTATCTCGGCATTGTACTGATGACCGTGGTAGTAATCACTGGCTGTTTCCAGTACTATCAAGAAAGTAAAAGCTCGAAAATTATGGAATCATTCAAGAATCTCGTCCCAACTGTATGTAATGAATATGCAAGAGAATAAATAACTTTCCACTTCATTATATTTACGTCTTCTCTTTCAGTTTGCTTTAGTACATCGTGATGGTGAAAAGCAGCAAGTGCATACGGAAGAGCTGGTAGTAGGTGACATTGTTGAGGTGAAAGGTGGTGATCGTGTTCCCGCTGACCTTCGCATCATTTCTGCATCGGGATTCAAAGTTTGCCTTTACTCTCTGTATTCCTTATAATAATTTTTTCCAAATATTGAAAAATCCGAAAAGCTGAATTTACATAAACGTGTACAACCATTTACCATTTGAAATCGGTAAAGCTGTTTGGACATTTATAGGTGGACAATTCATCGCTTACTGGAGAATCGGAACCACAGGCCCGTTCTCCGGAATGCACCAATGAAAATCCTTTGGAAACAAAAAATGTTGCTTTTTTCTCGACTCACGCTGTGGAAGGTTCTTGCAAAGGCATTGTAATCTACACGGGCGACCGAACCGTTAGTAATTTTGTGTCTTTTTGATTTTATGCATGTACTGAGTTTTATGCTCTTAATTTTCAGGTTATGGGTCGTATCGCTCACTTAGCTTCTGGTTTGGATACGGGCAAAACGCCAATAGCGCGTGAAATTGAACATTTTATCCATCTGATTACTGGTGTGGCTGTTTTTCTTGGTGTTACCTTCTTCATCATTGCTTTTATTCTGGGGTATCACTGGTTGACTGCTGTTGTCTTTCTGATCGGTTTGTTCATTATGTTTGGTCTATAAAATTCCATAAGGAAGTAATGGTTCAAAATAAATGTTATTATCTATATATAATCGTGAATGTTATTATCTATATGTAATCATAAATGTTATCTATATAATCATATTATCTATGTATAATCATTATATAATCATATTATCTATGTATAATCATTATCTATATATAATCATATCTATATATAATCATACATAATTATTGTGCTTACTCTAGGTATCATTGTGGCGAATGTTCCGGAAGGATTGATTGCTACCGTGACAGTTTGTTTGACACTGACAGCAAAACGTATGGCATCCAAGAATTGTTTAGTAAAGAATTTGGAAGCTGTGGAAACTCTTGGCTCTACATCCACCATCTGTTCGGATAAAACTGGAACACTGACACAAAATCGAATGACCGTGGCACATATGTGGTAAAATTCATTTTAGGATTTGACTAAGTTTTCGAAAAATTTTCTGGGAGTTAAAATGAGAAGTTAAGTCACTAGGCAAGAGATTTCATTATGTCTTAAGTCCTAAAATAAATTTTTTCATTTTAGTGGAATAAAAAATAATTCCTAATTAAGGTATGACTTAACAATAGAAGAATGTGATACTACAGAAAATCAGTCAGGAGCACAGCAGGTTATGGCTGAAGGTAGTACGCTGGCATCTCTTACTCGCATTTGCACCCTCTGTAATCGAGCTGAATTTCGACCTGGGCAGGTTTGCCGTCACGATATTTGAGATATCTGCAAAACTTCAACCCCTGGAATTTTGATTGATTTTAAGTTTCTGCAGTTCTGCTGTTTCTTTTCACTGTAACTTTTAGGAGGATGTCCCAATCCTTCGCCGTGAATGTACTGGTGATGCTTCTGAGATTGCTTTGTTAAAGTACTGTGAATTGACTCTTGGTAATGTCTCTGGTTATCGTGCGAAAAATCGAAAAATAGCCGAAATTCCTTTCAATTCAACGAATAAATATCAGGTGATTTGGTGGAAAATGTTGTTATAGATTTTTCTTAAGTTGTAGAAACAAGAAATTAAATAAATAAAAGTTGGTAAAAAGGACAAATATTTCAATGATTTTAGGTATCTATTCATGAAGTCGATGATGCGGACAAATCATATCTTCTTGTAATGAAAGGGGCTCCGGAAAGGATTCTGGATCGATGTTCAACTATTATGCTGAAAGGAGAAATACATCCACTAGATGAGGATCGTCGAAAACGATTCGAGGAAGCTTACTTACAGTTGGGTGGTATGGGTGAACGTGTCCTCGGATTTTGTGATTATCGCCTCGATATTGCAAAATACCCTAGAGGTCAAAAAACTTTTCTGTGTTCTTTATATCGACCACTAAACTTCACGAAATTTTCTTAGGTATGAGTAGTATAAATAATAGTTTGACATGCAAATTAGTTTCATGCTATAAGGAAATGTTCAAAAAGAGCTGGAATTTCGAAAACTGGTGAATATAAGGAAATGGAAAACATTTCTAGCCAGCGAGCCAATTGTTAAGCTAATTTAGAGTGCCATACTTTAGTTGAGCACCAGCATTTTATTTTGGATATAAATATTTTATGATGCTTTGCAGAGATGTTATTTTTGCGTTCTATTTACAGGATATGAATTCAATGTGGAAGAAGTAAATTTTCCAGTTGAGGGTTTATGTTTCATTGGCTTGGTGTCAATGATTGACCCTCCGCGAGCTGCTGTACCAGATGCTGTTGCCAAATGTCGATCTGCTGGTATCAAAGTTGTCATGGTTATTTTTTACAGTTTCGGAATTAAGGCTACAGTGAAAATCAATCCTTAGAATCTCAGTTTTTACAAGTCGTTCAGATTTGTTGTAGAAGTGGTCGAGAATTAAAGAAACTAGAACTGGAAAAAGAAAATTGAAAGGAAAGCGGCAGACTTTTTCTGTTTTGTTTTCTTTAATAATTTTGCATCTCATTTAAGCGTTATTTATATTATTTTTATTGTAGTGAGTTTTTAAAAAATAAAAATAGAAATTTTGTGTTTTTGTTAAGCATTCGAAGTTCCAGTGTGTTTTAGGTTACTGGAGACCATCCAATCACAGCTAAAGCCATTGCCAAAAGTGTCGGAATCATTTCGGATGGATCAAAAACTGTCGAAGACATAGCGATCGAGCGTAATTGTGCAGTAGAAGAAGTGAATCCGAATGATGCGGACGCGGCAGTAATCCATGGATCAGATTTGCGTGAAATGAACGAGGAACAGCTTGCCGATATTATCGCTCATCATCGTGAAATTGTCTTTGCACGTACGTCGCCGCAGCAAAAACTAATGATCGTGGAAGGATTTCAACGTCAAGGACAAATTGTCGCTGTTACGGGTGATGGTGTCAACGATTCTCCTGCACTGAAGCGAGCAGACATTGGTGTCGCTATGGGAATAGCTGGTTCTGATGTTTCCAAACAGGTGAAGTCAAAATGAGTTAGAATAAAATTTGAAAATTTGGGATTTCCAAATTATGCATTCATACAAATTTGTGATAAAAGTTTCTACTGAATAAATTAAAGGCAGCTGATATGATTCTCTTGGACGATAATTTTGCATCGATTGTGGTTGGAGTTGAAGAAGGTAGATTAATTTTCGATAACCTGAAGAAATCGATTGCCTACACATTAACATCAAATATTCCGGAAATATCGCCATTTCTTACTTATATCTTGTTCGGTATTCCGTTGCCTTTGGGAACAGTAACAATCTTATGCATTGATCTTGGAACGGATATGTTACCAGCTATATCGCTTGCATATGAAGAAGCTGAATCGGATATCATGAAACGCCAGCCACGCGATCCAGTGCATGACAAACTTGTCAACGAACGGTAAACAAACAAATTTTAAATTGAGGATTATTAAATTTCTGAACTGGATTTTGAACAAAAATATCAACTTTAATGAACTCCATACATCATGAAGTAACTCTTATAACATGAATTATGACTGATATTGTCATAGGTTGATTTCGTTGGCGTATGGACAAATCGGAATGATTCAAGCATCGGCTGGTTTCTTCACGTACTTCTGGATTATGGCTGACAACGGATTCTGGCCAAGTCGTTTGTACCAATTGCGTGCTCAGTGGGACTCCCGTGCATTTAATTCTTTAGAGGATTCATATGGGCAGGAATGGGTAAAGGTTTTTTATAGTTTGGAGTTGTAGGGAAATGGATACATCTTTTTGCCGTTTCCATCATCATTATCAATTGCAACGTCGTATAGAAGATCAGTAAGAAGTAAGTCGTAATCGAAAAGTACCATCATTTTTTAGTAGAAACGTGTAATATATTTGTAGACATATGCAAACCGTAAAATCCTGGAGTATACATGTCAAACAGCATATTTTGTGTCCATTGTGGTGGTTCAGTGGGCTGATCTGATTATTTCGAAAACAAGACGCAATTCTTTGGTGCAACAAGGGATGAGCAATTGGACATTGAACTTCGGTCTCGTCTTTGAAACTGCTCTTGCTGCGTTCATGTGTTACTGCCCAGGGCTAGATAAAGGTCTTCGTATGTATGGTCTTCGGTAGGTCCTTATTACCAATAATTTTCGTCCGGATGAAATTTAAATGTTGTTTTTAATTCGAAATGGTTACTATATTTCAGGTTTTCGTGGTGGTTCCCAGCATTGCCATTTTCTATCCTGATCTTTGTATACGACGAGGCTCGACGTTATTACATTCGACGATACCCCGGCGGGTGGGTTGAGCGTGAGACGTACTACTAATTCATGAAGGGAATACCTCAGTTTTACTGTTTTTCAGAATTATTCCAGTCAGAGTAGATCATTTCTTCAATTTAGGATGCTCATATGATGTTTCTTTACCATAAACTAGAAAATTTTTGAAGCAAGATTTCCAAAAGTTAATTTCCACTTTCCTATTTATTTTTACTAAGATTCATTTTCAAAAATACGTGATAAAGTATCATAACTTTTTTCTACTTTTTCTCCTTTTCAAAAATTGGTTTGTATTACATACATTTGCATATCGCACACATACTGATAAATTTCCACTAAATTTTTAAAGTTATCTTAAATATCTCCATTCCACTAGCTTTGAACTGATAGATATTAAATATGATCCTCGTGGTTGAATTTCTGTTTGAAATTTGTTTCCAGTAGTACTTTTCATTGTGAAAAAATATATTTCTTTTTTTTTTTTNTTT